CTAACCTAACCTAACCTACCCTATTGATAAAGATATTTAAATAATGTTTTGTATAACTTTCTCAATATTTTTATGTATTTTTCATTAGTTTTACCTTTGAATATTGTTTAAGAATGACTATATAAATATTTACATGCCTAGAAATGTATAAAAATTGGCATATTTATTAACTTCGAACCCCTATAACTTTTTATGGGGGATGAGACCGCCACGAACTTTTTATGGTACAGTGGTGGGGGAGACCTCCTCTTTCGATCCCCCCATCCCCACCATCTAGACCTTTACCGAAATAAATTTGTAGCAAATGCATTTATGAATAATTCTTACGAATATTCATCAGAAATCATTCCTAACAATTCTAACATACAAACTTCAAAAATAAAAATAATTCAATAACGCGATTCTAATTGTGAAGTGGACCAATTTGAGTTTTGACACTATTCAAATTTAAAAAGGCAAAAACAACTAACACTGTGCTGTTTCATTGAAGACCCACTGTAAGTGCAAACAAAATTTAGATACCGATTTGTCATCTAACTTATCAAATGTATAATAACAAAAAGTAAAGTTTTATTACATTTATATTGTTTTTCATTTCGTATTTACCATACATACATATGCATACATATATTATGATAACAGATTATCCGGGTTAATCTACATATACATTACGAATACAAGTAGTATATACTGAGGCTACGTATTTAAGTATTTATCTATGTAATATATTATTATGTAAGAAACAATTGCACAACATAATTTGATTACATACTAAATATTTCTGTTTTCTATTTACTTTAAAAAGGTTTAAGAATGTTATTTGGGATTATATCCCATTTTATCTATGACCCACTGTGTGTATGCGTATTTAAAAATGCATCATACATATATCTATTAAAATTTGTGAATTGAAAGAAACAATGACGTAAATAAATAGGTAAATAAGCTTAAATAAAAAAAGTGTAGGAAGGTAAATGTCTATAATTTTTAAATGGGTCATATTTTAAACATTTTTATTAAGTTTATAGTTGACTTAGTAGCATAGATTTATTTTTTTTATTTTATAAACAAATAATTAACCAATAATAAACTAGAAACAATCAATGATAAAACCTTCAAACCATTACGAAAAGTAATTAAAAGTTAATATTTATAATATTA